ACCCCACCCCTCAGGCATCCTGATGGGGAAGCCAGACCAAGACCTGAGTCACCTGGATAACTCTCTTGCAGGTGGCTTCTGCCTGCAGGAGGTGAGGGGGGGTGTTTTGAGGGGTGCAGGGGGAGCCTGAAGGAGGTCTCTCCCCACTAGACCTGCAGTCAGGACAGCTGGCCCAGCCTCAGGCCCTGGCATCATGCCTGGCCACACAGAGGTGGCCTCATCCCTGGCCTTGGAAACCAGCAGAGCAGGCCCTGGCCTGGGGCTCCCCCTGCCTCGGCATCACTGGAAATGCCCAGCCTGGCCAGAGAGCAGCAGGGCTTAGAGAGGGAGGAAGCTTTCTCTCTGCAGATGGAATCAACATGATTCAGCACAAGAAGCCTGGAGGCCGGGCCCTCCCGCCAGGCTCCGCTCCCTGCTGCCACCTCAGCGGAGGCCCCAGACGGCACCTGCCACGGGGTCCCCATGGTGCCCACGGAGGCCGGGCACCATGCCACTCCTCTCTCCAAGAACACCACTGCCTGGCGGGCTGCCAGGAACAGCCAAGCCCTGTGGACAGGGCTCCCGGGAATCCAACCAAACGAAAGCAACTCGCCAGATCTCTCAACCGCACCCGTGGGCCTGGCAAGTAAGCCCTGGGGTGCGCAGCCCAGACCCAAGGGCTTGCTGGGGACACACCAAGACAGTGTGTCCCTGGCGCACGACTGACTGCAGCTCGCCACAACCTGCGGGTGTCAACCGCCTGCCAGGGACAGAGGTGGCGGTGGGGGTCTCCACTCTCAGGAAGTGTGGGACTTAGTCTAACAAAATGGACAGCGGGAAAAATGATGTACATACGGACGATTAAATCCACACAGCCTAACCGGCAACTGAATCTCAGAGTCCATGGGCTGACGTGGCCCAGGAGGGTGGCCTTGGAAACCTAAGGCGCATTCCATGGAAATGAGGACGTGGATCCCAGGTGGAGAAGAACAAGATCAAGGCTAAGGGTGGGGAACTCCCTGCTTGTTCTGGGGGTTGTCAGATGAAAAACGCAACCTCTTGCTCATCTTTCTGCCGACCCTCTGGGTCCCCAGGGAGACTTATCCAGACCCCTGGGGCAGCCAGCACCCTAGGTTCCTGGGGGCTCTTTTCTGCATTGCTGGGGTGGTTCATGTTCCCAGGTATAGCGTAAAGCCAGCCCAGTCACCCTGGTCACGTGGCCTGAGCCACACCGTCAGGCTAACCCTAGAACCGCCCTACCCAACAAGGCTGCACCGTATAAACCAACCCAATCAGAGCCTCTTTACGGAAAAGCTGGGAGATGGGCCACTTCGGCCTGGTGTGTGCTGGGGGAGCTGAGCCCCTACTCTGGTGCTCCACGAGGCTGGCAGATGACTGAGTCTGGGACCTGGGGACTCAGAGCAACCCCTGTACCCAAGAGATGACCCCTACCTCCTCCATGGGCTGGCACTTGCCCTCTCTCCATGACTAATGGGTCCTTCTTCCCAGGGCACCTTGAAGACTGCAAGTCTGAGCCAAAGACTTAGGAAGCGACACCTGGAGAAGGGGGAGGTCTGGGGGAGGGAAGCGGAGCAGCCTCTTTCATCCACAATTAGCTTCTTTCACCCGCCAACTCCCTGAGCACTGCCCCACACTGCTTCTGAACTTTCAGGGAGTTCTGGCCCGGACTGAGCCCTAGTCAGGCAGATGGAATCTAAAACCTCCTGGGCCCAGCCTGAGAACGGGGACCGAGATCCTGAGGGCAGCCGGGCCAGACCCCAAGCACATTCTCTTGTTCCCTGTCGTTGCTGCCGTGAGAACGAGTTTCAGTTTGCAGAGCGGAGGCAATCTCACAGTTTGGAGCATCTGCTCTGCTCAGTACCTCAGACACCCTAAGGGAAACGAGGAACACCACTCAGAGGTTATCGGCTGGGTCCCAACTGGGAGCAGACTGAGGACCGGATCGCAAGCTGCCCGAGCTGACCCTTGGCCCCAGGCTCTTCTCTAGATAGCCCGGCTCCTCAAGGGAAGAGGATTCCCCTTGGCTCCTTCCCTCAGCAGGCAGCTTCCTGGGAGCCTGCTTCCCTCCCCGCTGCACAGCGCAGCATCCTAAACACCAAGGAGGCCTCCCCATACTGCTCGGGCAAGGGACACGCGGGGACAGGCTCCCCCAAACCTAAGACCAGAGAGACTCCTAGATTCAGAAGCAGAGGCACCGGCAGCCACAATCCATCCCACCACGACTGTCACACATGGTCCCCAGGCCCCTGTTTCCACATCCTGGGCCTGTAGCGAGTCACACAGGTGGGGAAGGGGAGGTCCCAGACGGGGGTGTATTCCGAGCCTGGGGTCTGTGAACCCTCCAACATCCTTGCAGGACTGTGAATGTTGGCGCATTGTTCTGGGAAGAGTGTGGAGAGATTATTCAGGACCACGAAGAGCTCACGGCCCATAGAGACCAGGACAACCTCCGGCGCCCTCCTATGGGGCTCCAGGCACCACACACACGGACACAGGAGAAGGTGAGGATGACCGTGACTGCGAATGTCTGGGCTCCCGTCCCCTCTGCCTGTTGCCCTGTTCACCGATGCCCACCCTTGTGCTCTGTGGGGCAGGAACAGTGTCCCAGCATGACCAAGCCCTGAGCTCTGCACACCCACCTCTGGCTCCTGTTACTGATGCGCCCCTGCTGGTCCGACCCTAGGGAGCCCTGGGTGTTTCCTGTCTCTCCGTGACTGCTCATTCGCTTTCTGAACATCACCACCCCCGGACTAGAGGAGGAAACTGGAAAGGAAAACAAGATTTGGGGGAAAGAGCCACTTCTGTGCACAGCACAGATGCAGCTCCTCATCCCTCCAGACAGCCTCAGGGTCCTAGAAAACCACCTCTTGTTTCCCACAGACATTTGGACGCTGGGGCTCCCTCCCATGCTGCCCAGGGCCCCCAGCCACTCCCTGGAGGGGCCCTGATCTGCACGTTAGGCAGGCCCATCGCCAGCTCTGCAGAGCCCACAGGCCTCAACCAGAGGCCGCGAGAGCCCAGGACGCGCCTGGAGCCGGAGGGCAAGTTATTCTGCTATTTTTGCAGCAAAGGGGAAGCCTGGCTGACCTCCTCCGACCCCCATCAGCCATGCCACTGTGTCAGGACAGAAGAGTGTCAGGACACCAACGAGACACCATCTGTCAGGAAATGCGCCCTGTCTCAGGGACGCTGTGAGTGAAACAGACAGTATTAGTCGCTCAGTCGTGTCCGTCTCTGTGACTCCATGGACTGAGGCCTCCGTCCATGGAATTCTCCAGGCAAGAATATTGGAGTGGGTAGCCATTCCCTTCTCCAGGGGATCTTCCCGACCCAGGGATGGAACCCAGGTCTCCCGCATTGCAGGTGGATTCTTTACTGTCTGAGCCAGCAGGGAAGTCCTGTGGGGAATACAGGGATGTGTCTACTCTCCAAAAACCAGGGGGAAGCTCAGGTTCTCCAGGATGTGGAATCACACTCGTCCTGCAGGCCCCACCCGACGACTGGCCCTGACTGGCCCTTGAGAACACGGGCTGCACTCTGCTTTTTAAGCCCCAGGAGGGCTTGCCTCGACCCCCACCATCAGCCCCGCCATGGTACTGTACCCTCTGCAGCACCCACCCCAGTGCCGGGAGACAGCATACGATCAGAGAAAGCATCTCACCGTCTGGTTGCAAATGGATATGATGGTCTGGAAAACCCATTATTCTGACTGAAAGCAAAACAGTTTCCACAGAGGCCATACCCTGGCTTTCAGTTCTTGAAAGACAAAGAAACACACACCACTAGAGTTAGTAGGTGTGGAATGTCATCTTTCTCTGAAGATTCAGTTCAGAGGTGGCACCTGGGGAAACAGCGGCATCTCAGGTAGTCTTCTGGATGCAGTTTGGGAAAGCAGAGGGGAAAGCAGAAACCCCAGGCTTCCCAAGCCCCCAGGCCTCTGACTCCGTCTCCCTGTGTGCACACACCTTGGGAATACACACTCCAGGGTGACCACACCAGATACATAGGGAGCTAGGGGGGTGCTACAGACCCAGGAGGGATGAGGGTCTGTCTGATTGATTTCCTAAGCTCCCCCCAGGAAGGCTCTCTGACAGCCTCTTTCAACAGTGATGGGAGAACTTCAGACAGACCACCTCAGAGCCCCTTGCCCATCCCCTCTGGACTCCACCACTGAGCCAGAATATGGGGCTCCCCCGCAAAGCTCGGCCAAGACAACCCCTAGGGATGCAGGAGGGGCGCCTTCCTGCCTCTCTCCCACTGGACAGAATCCACGGAAGGGATGAAAAGTGAAGAAGGAAAACAAGCCCAAGAGAAGTGGACAACAACGGCCCCAAGGAGACCCAAAGCAGAGGGGATCCGCCAGAGGTGCCAAGGCAGTCCCTAACCAGGGGGATCAGGCTGGGGCAGGGCGCAGGCAGCCTCGGAAGGCCCTGTGGCCAGCCGGTCCCTCGGGAACCGGGCCAGCTCCCCCACTCCACCGCTCAGCTCCAGGCTGAGCGCCGGTCAAAGTTAGTCAGAGGAGAGAAGACCTGTCTCCCACCTAAACCCCTTCTCACCCAGGGTGCCTCCTGGCGAGCGAAGGACCTGGGGGCTGGAATCTCACCAGTCCCAGAGCTGTGCCCTTGGACTCCCCCTGGGGAAGCTGACAACTGCGCATTCCTTGAGGACCCTTGATGGGAGAGACTGCCAGTGGGTGGGGGGAAGAGAAGCACCTTGGCACAGGCAGGCGTCCCCTCCCGCCCACCGCCCCGGGCCAGCCTCCTCCCCTGCCTGCAGAGGAGAGTAGCGGGGACATTATTCCAACAGGTCCCCCTCGGCCGGGCCTCCCCGGGCAGCCTTCCTCTGCCCTGCCCTGAGGCCTCAAATTCAGGGGCAGCGCCGAGGCACCTGCGGCTAGACCGGGCCGGGTCCCCGCGAGAGGGGGCCCGGGCGGTGCCCCTGGCGCCCCGGGGCCTCCTCGGCAGGGGCGGGGCGCCCCCGCGGCCCCTCCCGGAGCTCACCTGGCGCAGGTGCTGCAGCAGCGTCCCCGCCTCCTCCCGCCGGCCCTGGCGCACCATCCGCAGCAGCTCCTGGACCATGCCGACGCGGCGGTGGTAGGGGGGCAGCCCCGCGCCCGCTCCCGCGCGCCCCGCCTTGTCCCCGGCGCGCAGCAGCAGCGACGCCCAGAAGTCGGGCCGCTCGCGCCGGGGGCCGGGCGCCGCGCCGGGGCCGGCTCGCTCTGCCAGGCTGCCCTTGGTCTGCCGGGTGCCCATGCCGCCGCCGCCGCCGCCGCCGCCGCCGCCGCGCTCTCCGCGTCCCCGCCGCCGCCGCCCGCCGGCCCCTCGGCCGCCCGGCGCGCGCCTCCCGGGCGCAACTTTGGGGGAACTGTTGCGCGCGGGCGGGAGGGCGGGCGGGGGCGCCGGCCACGCTCCTCCTCCGCGCTCCCCGGGCGCGCTCCCCCGGCGCTCGCCGCCCGCCGGCCCCGCCCCGGCCCGGCAGCCCCGCCCCCGGCCCCGCCAACGCGCGCCTCCGGGCCTGGCGCGCCCCCTCCTCGCCTCCCCGCCCCTTGGCTCTGCTCGCCCGCCCTGTGCCCCCTCCCGGTCCTCACCACGTTCCCCAGATGGTACAAGATCGCGCGTGGATGAGACCCACGGAGCTTACGGGAGGCATGCACCCGGCGACATGCTGAAAGTTTGGAGAATCGAGGCGGAGCGGGGCTGGGGTCTCAGCCCCAGAGTCGGGTTTCTCAAAGTGGGCGCCGCGGAGCATCCGCGCCCAAGTCGTCTGAGGGCTTGTTGAGAACGGCCGACTCCCAGTCTCGCCCCAGACCAGCTCAATGAGAATCTCCGCCCTGGGGCTTGGCGATCTGCATTTTTAGCCTCTTGGCTGATTCTGATGGACACTCCTTTGAGACTCGGCGAGTGAGGGCCGGTGGTGGTGCAGAAACCACGTGCAAGGCTGTGTTAGGTAGAGTCCGTAGCCTGCATCAGTCCAGTCTCAAAGGGGCTGGACCGTCCAGGGGCAAAGAAGAGTCCTTCTCTCTTGTTTTTGCTAGCACACCTCCAGAGAAGGGTCCTGAGGGTACACCCCATGCAAAGCAGCAGGAGCATGCCTGCAACTAGACCCGACTGCCTGTCCCTACCTGGGACACCCCCCACCTGGCCAGACCAACCCTCCTGTCCTTAGCGCACCAGATCACCCCCTGGCTCAGACGATGCTTGGAACGCCCAGGGTAGCCCTGCCAGAGAGAAGGCCCAGGCACCTGGGGACCTTCCCCAGTCGGACCATGGCCCACCGGGGGGCTGGGGTGACTGCCCTGGTCTCAGGTTGGGCTGCAGGAGGAGCAGCAGTCATGTCTCTTGCCTCTGACCCAGGGCCTGGGTGCTGCTTTGGGACAGCGTGGGCTGTGGGGCAGGAGAGCTGGAGTCCGCCGTGTCCTGAGCCTGGAGCATCGGGCAGGTCTCTTCTGTGTGGGATGAGAACACTGTGCCGCAGATTGGGAGAGTTAAGATGCGGGACGTGTGTCAGAAACTCCGAGAGGACACACATGTCCCACAGAGGACGTTCCTTCTCCCACTCTGTGAGTGACTGCTGGGTCAAGCCCCAGTCCCTGGAGGACGGCCCTGTGTGCCCCTCACTGGCTTGCTCTCCCTTTGGACGTCCGGCTCCTAAATGCCCAGCTCTGCTGCCAGGGAGCACTCGGTCTTCCTGAAGGCTGGCTTCACAGGGCTGGGTGACACCTTCCAAACTCATCCCCACCAGGACCCCGGCTGGGAGACACTTCAGTGCCTCTCATCTCTAACCTGCAGGATCACAGGCAAGGTGGCCACCAGGAAACCTGCTGACCTGGCCCCTTCCCAGGGATGGTGGGCTCCCCCCACCTGGAGGCACACTGCAGCTGGAGTTGGCACATTGACTGACCGGAAGGCGTGGGGCTGGGACAACACCATCTTGGTGGAGGGCGGCCCAGGCGATCCTGAGAGTGGGGTCTACTCTCTAGTTGCGGTATTCGGGCTCCTGCATGGGCTTAGTTGCTCCGCGGCATGTGGGATCGTCCCAGCTCAGGGATGGAGCCGTGTCTCCTGCACTGGCAGGTGGATTCTTTACCACTGAGCCACCAAGGAAGCCCTCTTCCATCTGTTTAGAAAGGAAACTTGTATTTGCTCCTATCTCTCTGTTACCAAGGCCCCATTTCTCTTCTTTCCTTTTGAGCCAAGTTTCTTGGAAATGCCTAGTATTTACGTCCATTCATTCCTCACACACTCTTGCCAGTGACCCAGTTGCTAAATTCAGTGGCCACTTTCAGTCTTCCTTGACTCTTAAGCAGCATCTGATCCCGTTCCCTACACTGTTTCGAAGAAACTACACTCCCTTGGCCTATGGGGATACTGCTCTCCTCCAGGGACGCCCTCTGGGGGCTTCCTGTGTTAGCTGAGTCCTTTCCTCCTCGCTGCCACCTGGGTGCAGGCAAAGACCCCTGCCTTGGCAATGTTATTTATCCTCATGGCTTCACGCGACATGCACACACTGATGACTCTAAGTCTTGCTTTCCAATTCACAGGCTGATAAGTTAACCTGTCACTGATTCTCGGATGCCAATGGAAGAGGTGACACTCCTGGATCAGAGATGTATGGCTTTCTACTCAGGTCCACGTAGTGTGAACATCAGCATATCTGCATCGGCTCCCCTGGCCTCCGAGTCCTGCGGGGATGCTGCACCTGTCGCGGGTTTACATCACCAAGGGTGGAGGACACCCAGCTGGAGAAGCCTGAAGGGAGCAAACGCAGCGCTGAGAAGTAATCCGGGTGTAAGGCGGCCGGGGGTTCTGCCTTCTTGGCACACAGGTAGAGATGGGAAGGAGTGAGGCAGGCCCTCACTCCTGAAGAAGGAGTGTCTCTTCCGCCAGCAGGCGCTTTATACTCCACAAACACATCTCTCTTCCAGGCCTCCTCCCCAACCTGCCCTCCGTGGGCTCTGCTTCCTGTGAGCAGCCGGAAACCCTGGAGCCGCTGTGCACTCCGGTCTCTGAACACCTGCATCTGGTGAGTCCTGGTGAAGATGCCCAGGGGGTGGCGCTCGTTTGTGTGTGTTCAATGCGGGCTCCATCTCTGGCTGTGTCTGGTACGGTGCGCTTTCATCCTTTTAAACAGCTGTGAGGTCAGTCTCACTTCTGCCCTGAGTTCACAGCTGAGCATATGGACTCTGGGACATGTTAGTGACGGGCCAGGCAGGGATTCACACTCAGGTCTGTCTGACCTGAAAGCCCAGCTACGAATGTGACTTGAAACATGGATCCTTGCTGGACACACATTGTCGTCGTTTTCACTCCAGTCATTACATCAAAACAGCCTTCTTTTTAACTTCTTTCTAACTAAAGAGGAAACAGTTACACACCACACACACACACAGAGGATTCAGTGACTTATATCCCTTCCCATCCAAACTACTCAACATGGGGCTTCCCAGGTGGCACAGTGGATAAGAATTCACCTGCCAATGCAAAGGACTTGGGTTCAATCCTGGTCTGGGAAGACGCCACATGCTGCAAAGCAACTAAGCAGGTGTGCCACAACTACTGAGCCCACGCTGTAACAAGGGAATCCCCCACGGTGAGAAGCCCGTGCACCGAGATGAAGAGTAGCCCTCACTTGTTGCAATCAGAAAGCCCTCATGCAGCAACAGAGACCCAGTTCAAATTTTAAAAATTTTAAAAAACAAAAATTAAAAAACAAAACAAAACAAAAAACTACTCAACATGCATTGCTGCCCCCACGTGCGATGCTGTCATCATCCTGTGTAACTTACTCCCGTCCCGAGATGCTGTCTCCTGTGGCTTTGCACACACTGCAGTATCTTCCTTCACCTCCTTAACAGATAATGAGTATCCCTTAAGACTTGGTTTAGGTGTCCCCTCCCTCAGGAAGCCTTCCCTCAATGCCTCCCGAGCCATCCTCCATGTGACTGCAATACCGTGTGACTATGACAGTGTATCTCATTTGTACTGTTCGTTGGCAGGCGCTCTTCTGCCTGGAGCATCCCCCCTCTTTCCTTCATTGCTCAGCTCCTCTTCTTCCCTTGCCTCCCACCAGCCAGATAGGTGTCCATCTCGTGTTTCTCCAAATCTGACTACTTGAGCTCAATGCTGCTGTCCTGGCCTGGGATCTCCTCAAGGGCTGGTTGTCTACTGGTGGCCAGAAGGAGGAGCTCAGCATAAATTTGCTGAGTGAAAACTGTGTGGACCCCCGTGATAAATTTGCTGAGTGAAAACTGTGTGGACACCCGTGCATGGTGGGCACTCAGGAACCAGAGCACTAAGATGCCAGTGGGGCATGTTAACATGGAAGCTACAGGTGACCTTCAGGAAATCAGTCTGCAGGGAATCGAGGTAAGAAAGTTGAAAAGTGCTGATGTAGCTCCTTCTTTCAAGAGACTTGGTTGTGACTTGGCTGGTGGCTGGTTGACTTGGGGCAGTTCCTTCTTGGTGCTGGTTTATTACGAGTGAGATGGAGCATTTATTTAGAAGGAACCCAGGAATCTATCCTTTTGGTTGTTCTCTTTTGTTTAAGCATCTAATTTTGGTAACTTGAGATGCATTGGACTTTTCTCACCATCAAACCAGGAATTACAAAATTCTCATCATGATTTTTCTTTGAACATTCACTTCAGTTTTTTCTATTGTAAGATTTGAAGTTAAAATTAAAGATCTTTCAGACTATATAAATGTTTAAGTAAACACATCTAATTCATGGATCAAATACTAAATATTTTTATCTGCAATGTCGAGCTCTTATGCTGCAGTGCATTTTACACTAATAATATTGAAGCCTTTTCTTAATAATCATGCAAAAATGTTTTGATAGTCCTTTTTAGAGCAGAAGAAACTGATGTTTAAAAAAAAAGACAGAGTTTGGCTAGTGCTTCCTTGAGAGTCAGAATTCAAACCCAGGTCTGCACTGCTTTAGAGAACATGCTGTTGTTCAGTTGCCAAGTCATATCTGACTCTTTGTGACACCCTGGACTGCAGCACACCAGGCCTCCCTGTCCCTCACCATCTCCTGGAATTCCCCCAAGTTCATTTCCATTGAATCGGTGGTACCTTCCAACCATCTCATCCTCTGTCGCCTTCTTCTCCTTAAAGAATATAGATGGTCAATATAATTAAAAATTTTTATTTGAAAATGTTATGCTGGTGCTGTTTGTCCTTGAATGTAGGGAGAGGAGTCGGCCAGGAAGAGCACAGGAGAGGAAGCACACCTAAGCCACATCCCATCC